TAAAACAATAAGATTAAATCATTAAAAATTATTAAATTAAAATGTGTATTTTATATAAATTATGAATGGTTGTATATATGTCTACTTTTTACATTTTAATCAAAATAAATAGTGGGTTCATAAAACAATTTAACATGTTTGTTTCATTATTGATTTATTTAAAAAATTAGGAGTATTAAACACTAATATGTGAACATCAACCCTCACAAAAGAACGTAAAACATTATATGATTTCAAGCATTTGATTTGACTAAAATTATAAATTTGAAATGATACTAAACCCTGGTATAGGAGCCTAAACCTCACACACGAACGTACATATAATTTACAACACTCTATTTGACTAATTTAGTGGATTTAAAGGAATACTAAGTCCTAAGATGTCAGCATAAACCCTCACACACGAACGTAAAATATTGAATGGTTAATTAAACTTTATTTTAATAACAGTCATGTCATTCTATTCTAATAATTAAAAAAAAACTTGAAAATGTATAACGACTAACGAGAAGATAAAAGTCTTTTTTTTCAACTAATGACTAATGACTTTTCTCTCTCATTCGCGAAACTTCGAGCGATTTTCAACTTCGACTTGATCGATCTAATCTTCCAGTAAATCTGGAGTAAATCTCACTCAAATTTCATCTTTTCAAGCAAAATTTTACCTTCCTTTCGCTGGATCTGAAGTATGCAGCAACAAAAAACAATTTGGGAAGCTCTTCGAGAGCTGCATCTTGGCTCGGATCGGGAGCACTAGGATGTTCATCAAGATGCACAAGCAAGGTTTGAGAAGGAGCATCAGCTTTTTTTAGTTGTCAGGGGGTTGAATCTTGAGCATCAGAATCCAGCTGGTATAAAAAAGGTGTTGCAGGGAGCTTGGGAATCTAAAGGATGTGTTGATGCGAAAATCAATGATGATAGCACTGTCAACTTCTACTTTGCAAAGGAATATCAGCTGATGGTAGTTCTGGATGGAGCTCCGTATGAGTATAGAGGCTGGATGGTTGCTGTTGATCGCTGAAGCAATCGAAGATCTCCAACTTTCCTCAATCATATTCCTTTTTGGATCAAGATTGAAAAAGTACCGGAAGTTTATAGGAGACATAACATTATCTGTAGTATAGGTTCCGAGATGGGCCATGTTGATGAAGTTCGCATAGTTGAACCTGCCATGCATCTGAAAAAACCAGCGGAGATATGGGTTAGGGTTACGATGGACATAGACAGTGAGATTTCATTGGTTCGAAATGTTCAAACCATGCACTCCTCTAAGCCCATTGAGCGGGAGTTTAAGTACGAAAAGCTTCAAAAGTTTTGTTCTACTTGTGGAAGTATGAGGCATAGCTATGATGCTTGTCCTAAGGCGTCTACACCCAATGATACAGCTGGAGCTTTAATGGAGATTGGTAATGATCCTTTCATTACTGCCCAAGAAAGGAGAGCAGCCATTGAAGGTCTGAATACAGGGCAGGACCTGGGAGAGAGCTCAGGAGCTGCACAACCAATACCTCTTATGTTGGCTCCTATTTCTGATTATCTGATGGAGCACGGATTTGGTCAAAATCCAATTAGTTCTGATGCAGAGACAATAGTTGGAGTTAGGGATGTAGATATGGAAGGCGCTGATCATATTACTAAGAGAAAGATGGATGAGCTTGAGTTAACAGAAGAGATGCCTGCTCCAAAAAAGACATTTGGTAAGGATAAGAGTGATAAAGAAGAGAGGGAAGCTTCTTCAAGCAAGCAACAGAGTGATGACCCCGACGCTAACAA